ACGTGTAAGGCAGCGATGAAAATTCCTTTAAAAAAAAAAAGAACTATCATCAATTTCTACGACCACGCATGAGGCATCCGTATAGCTTTGCTGCTCTTACATCCATCCAACTGTTATGCTCTGTTCCGGTCAAGAGCAATTTGTCAATCAAGTTTCGCTTCTCCATTAAACTATTTAAAAAAGCTTCTTAACCAAAAACATACCAAATACCATTCAAGGAGAAGGGCTACCTTCAAAAAAAAAAAAAAAAAGAAATTCTTACATACTGGCGCTGAGCTGGGGAATATTTGCTTTCAATACTATTATGGTATTCACGTAAACTCGTAACCACTTTAATGCCGATTTGTCGGCATTCCGCTTTTAAATTTCGCAGAGGCACTAACATAAACAAGAAGTAAAAAGCTACCAACGGGAATACCCACCGGTTAAAATATTCTGTCTAGATCTATCACTTGAGTCAAGCCACAAAATGATTCAGATAAAAGAAATTAGCAGCTCTAAGCTCCACTTTGAACAAGAATTTTAAGGTGTATTTTGCATACGAGCGGTAGAAGTGTAAACGCTGTTTCAAGATCAGAAGTACATTTAGGACACTAAGGAATAGTTCTTAGAAGAACTAATTTCAACGTCATGTAGTTATAAAACTGTAACTCATTATCCATCACATCAAGCCTTGACTAGGAAGCCGTTGTGAAATGCCATAAAATTGAGGACTTCAGCATTAGACTGTTAGAAAGTAAGCAAGGGCCGCATAGACAAGTCTGTAACCATCAAAGACGAATTATGGCGGGATGGAGATCATGTATAAAGAAAGTGGCCGGCTGACGGTGAAACAAGCCTGCTTCAGAGTCGGCACATTTAAACTGCGGCAGCGCACCGAACACAACAGTTATATGCCAAAAAACTACCATAACTATAAAAATATACGGCGACGGTCTCGTTTGCCATAGACCACCCTATACGGTCCCCTTATCATGAAGGTATTCGTGAAGCTTTTCGAAGGGAAATATGGTGATTAAAAACCAGCATGTCTCTGTCTTCAACAGCATCTGTTGGACAACAAACTGAAGTGGCATTCTTCTTTCTGATACGATCGGAAAAAAAGTTCCAGTTCAATAGCCAATTCCGTAACAAATGAAGACGCACACAAAACATCCTTTGTAAAACTGCAAAGAAATGACTTAAGGGTCTAGCTGCAGAAAGTAGTCAAAGACTGCGCCTTTTTAAAGTCTTCGTTTTGAATCAATTTTAGAAATCTGACTAGTCTAAGAGAGGATAAATCGCTGATAAAAGTATTATGCACATTCACCATCTTAACTGTAAAAAAACCGATGAAAAACTTCCTTCCAGAACTCTCATTTCAACTCTAATTGTCGTTCATATTTCCCACATTGCCCGATGATCATCTTCGAAATATTATCACCAACAAACGGTAAAGACATATATGCAAAAATGCTGTCAATCCGCCGTTACATTACGATGATCTGATGCATTTTCACACATACATATCGTGTGCGTGGTATATGAAAAGATGCCATGGTGTATTTGTGGAAGTGTGTGTGTATATTTGTGTGTAGTGTATTTGCTTGTGTGCGACGCGTTTTTTGACGTATATCGAAACGAACAAACGAACCCAACGAACCGACGAACGAACTAAGACCTCGAAACGCTGCGGTGCACGCAGATAGGTGTCGTCGGTTGTTGCTCGTTTAGGTTTTAAGCAAGCAAGCAAGCAAGCAACAACATCAACAGCAACGACGAAGACAGAAGTAGGACGAAGGACAACAAAAGTAGGAAAAACAAGAGGAAGAAGTTGACGGAAAGGAGTTGGAAGAGGAAGAAGAGGAAAAGAGGGAAAAAAGTAGCTGCTACAAGTGCTGCTGATTTGTGTTCCAGTCCAACTTTGTGGTGGCGGTGGTGGTAGTGCCGGTGCTACGGAAACCACTATACATCTGCTACTGCTGCTGATACCGATACTAATACTGCTATTACTCCCTTGGCAACTATAACCACTACTGTTTCGCTAATTTCTCCTGTAATTTTTTCAGTATATTCTCTTTTATCGTTTTTTTTTCTTTTTCTTTGTTTTTTTTTTTTCTGCGTTCATACTACTTTTAGCATCAGAAATGTTGGTTGATGACGACGATTTTTATGCATTTAGTTGAGTGAAGATTTGCATGTATTTGGATTTAATGTGTGTCTGATATATACATATATATACATGCGTATACGTATACTAAAAACGTAAGGAGTCTGTGTGTTCGAGTAGATGTGTGGTTCTTTCGCAATAATTTGTTGTCTTTTTTTTTTTTTGTTAAATGTTCTGAATGATGAGTGTTTATTTTTTGTTTTTATCTGAGTGTTATGTTGGGTAATCTGAACGCTTTACTACTTCTGTTTACATAGGTTAAACGGGGAGGAGTGATTGATAACTAAAAAAAATAAGAGATGGATTTTTCCTAAAAATAATAGCCTATTGTTAAATATTACAAAATTTTTACTCTGATTGTATTATATAATTTTCTTTTTTTCTTTA